ATTTGATATTTGTAGATGATAAAACTGGGCTACATTTTGACAGAGATGAGGGAAGTGGCTGTGTGCTCCATGAGTTGACCTTCAGAATGCAAGGCATGCCAACTCTTTTCCTACTAACAATCTGTTCTGCCTAAAAATCTGTTATAGAAAATGCCAGTTGAATTTTTAATTTTTTAAAAACCTTTATATGTTTCTCTGTTAAATGAAGATATTTCAGAGAAGGAGTATCAATGGCTGCCTGGCAACTGGGACAAGGTAATTAGGTAATGAGAAAGGCCAGGAGATTCCAAAGTAGAGGCACTTAAACATTTATTTTTCTAGTTATAAAAGTAGTATGTTTCAGCAGGTCTTTAGGGGGTTAACAAGAAAAAGAAAAAAAAGTAATATATGTTCAGTGTAAAAACTTAGAAAAGCACGGAGAATAAGAATTTCATAATTCTACCACCCACAGAGAACCACTATTGTCCTTTTAGTGTATTTTCCTTTTCCCATGCCTGATGTTCATAATCATGCCTAATGTTCATAATTGCAGTTAGTGCACTTTTGCTTGCTTATCATGAACATTTTCTCCTGTCATTAAAAACTGTCAACATTTCTTTTTTGTTAGCATCAATTTCAGTGACTGTATGTATTTCATTTAATGGGTGTATAATAATTCAATTAACGTGAGTTTTTAGGTTGTTCCGCACTGGGCTTTTTAATTTCAAAGAAACAGTTTTGTTAATCATCTACTCTAGGGAGCTCTTTGCCTAGAGTCTGTTGGGACACAGCTAGTTAGTGAGCTGTGCAATGGAGATTATTTCTTTTTAATTTTTTAATTTTTCAATTTTATTTATTTATTTTGAGATAGAGTCTCGCTCTGTCTCCCAGACTAGAGTGCTGTGGCATTAGCCTAGCTCACAGCAACCTCAAACTCCTGGACTCAAGCGATCCTCCTGTCTCAGCCTCCAGAGTAGCTGGGACTACAGATGTGCACCACCACACCCTGCTAACTTTTAAATTTTTTCTATTTTTAGTAGAGATGGGGTCTCGCTCTTGCTCAGGCTGGTCTCGAACTCCTGACCTCAAGCGATCCTCCCACCTCGGCCTCCCAGAGTGCTAGGATTACAGTCATGAGCCACCATACCCTGCCAATTGTTTCTTTTTCAAAACAGGTTATAGACATCCTGATGTGTCTCAGAATGGTTCTCTTCTCATTAACTTACCTAGAACATAATGGGATTTAAAAAATATAAAATAGTTTTATTCATTTACAGACAATAAAATTCACTTATTTTAGGTGTACATTGCAGTCACTCTCCTTCCCTGAACCCTGTTCCCAGGCGACCACTGATCTAAAGTGGCCATTTGATCAGTTTACTCGGTCTTTTTATAAGTAAGAAAAGTTTTCTTTAATTTTGAATATTGCTCTGTACTATTTATTTTAGTTATTTTAACTTATTCTTATAATAGGCTTAATGTTAGTTATCTGCATTCCATATGTCACAACTTCCTTCTCATTTTTGACCTTTTCCTTTTTTTCTAAGAGAAATTTTGAAGGTTGTCATTGGTTTCATTAACTTGTGAAACGAAGCTTGTACTTTCTAAAAGTTTATTGGGTTTCCTGTAGAATAAATTAGGTTGAACTATATAAAATTGTTCATATTTAATCATTTTGACCTACAAAGATGGCAGTTTCACCTGGTTTAACCTAATATTCCTTCAGAGGTATGTTCTTCATTTGAGTTTTCAGGGTAAGATTCCCTATTTCCTTGGAGTGTCACATTTCTTCAAGGGCTCATTTACCTTTTTTCTTTTTCCATTACTCATCTGTGATTAAGAAGCACCTTATCCAGGGCTTAAGTTGGCCTGAAAACAGGTATAAGAAATTATTTAGTGGACTGTTCAGATTAAGATTCACATGAGAGTTGATTTGTTGAGCCTCCTGCCCCAGGTTCCAGAGTTTAGGGACCTTCTAAGCTTTCATTTTAATATTTAATGTTTAAATATTCCCAGAATGCAATGCATCACATCTCTTCTACCTTCTTACCCACGCTGTTTCTCCACTTTATTTTCTTTGGAATTATATACTATATTGGGGATGTAGTTTTCTGATTAACATAAATGATGATATACAAAGAAGAAGGGTTTGGCATGAAATTTATTGCCTCTAAAAGTATTATTTATGCGGAGGTATATGAAAGCTTAATTCTTCAAGTGGTATAGACATTGATTCTCTGAACTCCAAGGATAGTGGATGAACTCCCTTTTTTCTTCCCCCTTTAAAAAAATAACTTTTTCCTTTTTGTTATAGCACTAATATAATGCATATTGTAAAGAATTTTAAAATATCTGAAAAATACATATAATAAATTTTAGTGCAACCCATCAATCACCCCCTTCCCAAATGGGAACTTCAGCTTTTTGGTATATACATCCAGGCTTATTTGTGCCTTTTAAAGCTACTTTTTTTTTTTTTTCCAAAATTTGAATCATACTCAAAATTTTTATGGCCTGCAGTTAAGAAGTTGCATAAGGAAGCAGAAGTCATTGTAACACAAAAATATTCACTAATGGAGTAACTGACTCATTACCACTCAACATCCTTTCTTCCTTGAAACTTGAACTTACTTCCAACCTCCAACTACTGTCTCTGTCTCCATGCTATGGGGTATTATAATGCAGATAGGTTGGGAAGGTTTTTCTTAAGATCAGTGAAGGATGCTGCAGATCTCAGTGATTACTGACAAATCTGTCTGGGTTGGACCAGTTGAAAACCTGATGAAGAAAAGAATCAATAGAGATGTTGATGGGTTAGGCATTCAAAGAAGAATGACCGAATATAATGTAATATTTAATGTTGAATATTAAGATTGGCTTTTGGGAACATCAGTATAGTTCCCATGAAGTGTTGCCACCATGATGCTGCCATGTAAGTCAAGACGAAATGAAGAAAGTAATACAATAGTGTATATCATTTTGTTAGAAAAATTGTGTTCCCTCCTTGCAAAAAAAACCCCACTATTTTTATTCATTCTTTGATTTATTTATTCATTCTGTGATCTGTGATAACAAGGAACACCTGTATTTAAGTTTTTCTTAATTCTCTAGACTGTTTTACATTTGCTACAATAAATAGTAACCAGATAACCACATGTTCCTATTGAGTAAGCATATGCCTAGAAAAGCTAGTTGTATCCCAAATTAAGTACATACTTTAAAACACCTATCAGCAGAAATTATAACAAAATTTTTTTTAGCCTTTTTTAAGTCTGTCAGTCCAATATAGAAGGTACCACTTCTTCTTATGTAGTTCTTAAGGCCAAGTTTCTCACATTCTTCTCACTCAGATATCTGGATGACTGGTGACTATTATAGACAGTCTGCTAAAATGGGTTTTTAATTATGTGCTAATTTGTGCTTTTATTATAATTATGCTATTTGTCGTATGACTAAATCTGCCTCTGGGACACTTGTGCTGCATTTGCCATTCTCTGAAATTTTCTCACATTTTACTGTGCACTTGAAGCACCTGGGAATCTTGTTAAAATTCATCTTCTGATTCAATAGGCATGAGTTGGTAGGAGGCCAAAATTCTGCATTTAGAACCAGCTCCCCCTTGCTATGCCAGTGCTGCTGGCCTTCAGACCACACTTTGAATAGCAAGGCTTTCAGTAACAGTTTTGGGTACAGAAGCCATGCAAAGCCTATTGAAGCCTTTTTTTTGTTGTTGTTATGATAGCTTTATGATACATGTCTACTTTACTAGTAATGTGTATTTTTCCAATGAGGATATATATGTTGAATAATGACTTTCAATATGTGAGCTTTTCTGTAATTTTTGTGTCAAGGCACATCATCTGCAGTGGTTATTTATAAAGAATAGTAACATACCAATGATGATGTAATAGTTAACATGTATTGACTACTCATGCCCCAGACAGTAGGGCTTGACTTAATTTTTTCCACAAAACCATGAAGTAGACATTATTATTGTTATCCCTGTTTACAAATAAGGCTGAGTCACAAGTTTAGTGACTTAACCATTGTAATACAGCCAGAAGATGACAGAGCCAGGGTATCAACTCAGGTTGTCTGACTCTAGAGCTTGTATCTTTAATCTCTGTACTAGTCAGTCCAGAAACTACAGACTTTATGTAACATGTATAAGAATTTTTAGTTTCTTTCACAATTCCTATAAATTTGAATTTTCTAGTTTTTTTTCCAGAAGGCCTTTGAAAAGCAATTTTTTTCTTCCTTATGTTTTCCGTTCTGTGGCTTTCCCATAGATACTTATCATTTGTGATTTGTTACCAGGTTTTTTTAGTTTTCCATTCTGCATATATGTGTTAATATGTGCATGTGTGAGAAAAATATCTCAACTTTCTTATTCCTTTGTTGTGAAAATCTATGAAGAATCAAAAGTAATTAGTACCTTGCTTTGAGTGAAAGATAAAAGTGTTCTTATTAATGTTGAAGCCTTATGTTTTCTGCCAAAGAGTAGCCCAGGAAAAAAGCAGATTTTACAGATTGTCACAGAAGACTGACTGTTCTTTTGTATGTCCTGAAAATTTTGAAATTTTTTTTTCTTTCACCCAAATGGTAATTGTAATCTAGTGACTAGTGTGGAAACATACCTTCCATTGTGAGTTCTCCTGCCAAACCACCAAATGATCTTAGAGAAGCCAGGAGCCCCTCTGTCCCAGCTTCTCAACCTGTCAGATGTCAGCACTATCTATATGCAGTATTTGAGCCCCTCTGTCCTTCAGCATGTTAAAGGGAGACTAATACAAGAAAGAGAGTTAGTATTTCTAAATCCATAGGCATTTGTACAAATTTGCAAAAATGAGTGGAAGTTGTTTAAGATTAGAAAAATGTGGCATTTCAGATGCAGGTTATTTTGAAAATCAGTAACCTAGAATAGGTCATGAATAAGCTCATAAATAAGAACATAGCTAGCTTATTACTCATCTCAAAGTCATATGAGGCTATTTACCTTCATTACTCTCTTTTTTTTACAGTCCATCAATATTATGGAACTGACTTTACAGAAATATGGAAGTTATGAAAAATTTGAACAAGCCACTGGTGGTAGCTTGCTATCTAAACCTCGAATCTGGAGTCATGTTAGGAAGTACATGCTGAAGGAAGGCTGCCTCGGGGAGGTATGAATCATAAGTAAACATGAGGAGTTGGCTGTGGCATTTTATTATAACTCTCAGTCAGTGCCAGTCAGTCATAGTTTTTTCCTGCAGGTTTTGTTTTCCCAACCCTATTTTAGTCATTAAATTCATCACCCAAACAGAAAACAGCAACGAAAAATTAGTCATCCAAGTTTCTGACTAAATACTATAAGTCTAACTACCTGCTGCATTAAATTGTTTTTGATGTGTTGAGTTTCTTCTCGTTTTTCTTCGACGTGCCATTTCTGTATAGCTTATGGAATTATATGATTACTTTATGGAAAATTGTTAATAAAGAGATTTGCCCCAGTGGCCTCTCTTATTAATAGTCTGCTTTTAGTGGTCAGTCTCAAAGCCTTGGCGCTAGCAGTGAGCAGAACTCTTGCACCCGTACCTCCTTTTGCACCATTTTATTCAGGGACTGTATTTAAGAGATGCCAGAGGTACACTTTTAAGTGCTCTGTGTCTTCCTCAGCACAGCCATCTACTTTCCCTTCAACCCAATAAAGTTCTTGAGTTCCCAGAGGGTTAAAATTAGAAGAGTCAAAGGTAATTGGCTATACATCCCATCTTCTTGATTTCTGGGAGATTCAAGGTGGTTGTAAGTAAAAAAAACTAGTGTAAACTTAAAGGCCCATTGTTCTCTGTGAAAGCTCTTTGTCACCCTGCCTTTACATTTTGTTCTTTTCTCTCTTTCTCCTTAGATTGTAGTTCATCTCACTGAGGACCTGCTGTCCCGGGCTTCAATGACAGTAGTGAATGGATGTCCAACTCTGACCATCAATGTCTCCACTGCACGTGAGCATTGGCTGGAGGGAATGCTGAGGCATGAGATAGGTAGGGGCAACCCTTTACCATTTGTTCCTTTGTAATATCAGGAATCATCCCCAAAGAGACGTTATCTTAGAATGGATTTTTTTCTTAGTAGTATTTAGCAAAAAGTCATGAGGTTGTTAAGCTTCACTTGGACTAAAGCTAATGTATTTATATATATATTTTTTAGGACACTGTTTAGCTCTATTAAGCTTAGAAATTTATTTACCTCATCTGGATTTCTGTTCCCCCACCTTGAACTGAGGGGTTTGAATTAAAGTATATTCTTTTCAAATATCAAGTCTGTGATTCTTCTCTTTATTTTTTTTTTTAATTTATTATTCCAGGGTTTTGTGAGGGTACAAACATTGTAGTTACACTTTATGTCTTTGCCTCACCCAAATGCATGCCCTTCCCTCCCTTTAGTGCTCCCCGTGTCCTTTAGTTGTAGATTTGCTGCCCCATCCCCCTAATCCCTAGAGAGTATTTCTGCCATGTGATCAACCTAGTGTTGATCAGTTAGTACCAATTTGATGGTGAGTACAAATGGATCCCGTTCTTCTGCTCTTGTGGTGCCCCACTTTGGATAATGGGCTTAAGTTTAATCCAGGAAAGAGGTGCTAGATCACTGTCGTTTCTTATGATTGAGTAATATTCCATTGTGAACATATACCAAATTTTGATAATCCACTCATGGATTGACGGGCACTTGGGTTGTTTCCACATTCTTACAATAGTGAATTGTGCTGCCATAAACATTCGGGTGCAGATGTCTTTATCGTAGAATGTTTTGTGCTCTTTTGGGTAGATGCCTAATAGTGCTATTGCTGGATCGAACGGTATTTCTATTTTTAGCTCTCTGAGGTATCTCCAAATTCTTTTCCACAGAGGTTGCACTAATTTGCAGTCCCACCAGCAGTGTAAAAGTGTTCCTGTCTCTCCACATCCTCGCCACCATTTGTTGTTTTGTGTTTTTTTGATAGAGGCCGGTCTCACCGGGGTTAGGTGATACCTCATTGTGGTTTTTATTATTATTTTTTTTTAAAGACAGGATCTCACTCTGTTACCTAGGCTGGAGTGCAGTGGCATGATCATAGTTTACTGTAACCTTGAACTCTTGGGCTCAAGTGATCCTCCTGCCTTGGCCTCCTGAGTAGCTGGGACCTCAGGGCGCCTACCACCATGCCCAACTGATCTTTTTATTTTTTTTGTAGAGACGAGGTCTCACTGTGTTGCCCAGCCTGGTCTGAAATGCCTGGCCTCAAGCGATCCTCCCGCCTCAGTCTCCCAAAGTGCTGGGATTATAGACCTGAGCCACTGTGCCTGACTGATTCTTCTGTTTAAAAAGTAAATTGTTAGGCCAGGCATGGGGGCTCACGCCTGTAATCTTAGCATTGTGAGAGGCCGAGGTGGGAGGATCACTTGAGCTCAGGAGTTCCAGACCAGCCTGAGCAAGAATGAGACCCTGCCTCTACTAAAAATAGAAAAAATTAGCCAGGTGTGATAGCACTCACCTATAGTCCCCAGCTACTTGAGAGGCTGAGGCAGGAGGATCACTTGAGCCCACGAATTTGAGGTTGCTGTGAGCTAGGCTGATGCCATGGCACTCTAGCCCAGAACAAGACTCTGTCTCAAAAAAAAAAAAAAAAAGTAAATTTTTATAAAGGTTACGCCTCCTCTAATGAGACATATGATCCTTTCGAAGGCAGTGTATTCCTTCAAACCCAAAAGATGTTAGGGATGTGGAATTTTCTACTTTGTTTTCATTTGTAGGCACATATCAATTTGATTTTAGAATTGTTGATGGAATCATTCTTTTGGGGAAGAATTAAAACAAGAATGGCATTTCTTATTATTCATGTAACTTTTCTTCTCCATAGGCACACATTATTTTCGAGGTATTAACAACCTCCAGCAGCCATGGAATAGTTGGAATGGCCGTAAAAAACATGAGCTAAAGCCAAATAATCCCACAGAGGAAGGACTGGCAAGTATTCACAGTGTCCTGTTTAGAAAAGACCCCTTTTTATGGAGGGCTGCCCTCCTATACTACACTGTTTATCGAGCCAGCCAAATGTCTTTTTGTGAGCTCTTCAAAGATATTGGCAAGTTTGTCAAGGACCCCAATACAAGATGGGATTATTGTGTACGGGCCAAAAGAGGATGGACTGATACTTCCCAACCAGGTAGGTGTCCCTTAACTGTAGGTTTTCTAACTTATTGACTAGTTGTCTAGTGATTTTGTTTATATTCTAATCTCCGAATCACAGAATTCACTCACCTATTAAAAATAAAACCTTTGTTACTTGAGGTCAATGCTAGTTTTCCCAAACCATATTTTCTTAGCATTATTTTTGCCCAGATCATTTTGAAAATTTTCAGACCTAGAGAATATAGAAAGAATGGTAGAATGAATACCCATATACCCATCATCTAGATTTACCAATTTTAACATTTTGCCATTTTTGCTTCCTCTTTGACTTTTAAAAACAGCTTTATTGAGATATAATTCATATATCGTACAATTTAGCCATTTAAAATACACAATTCAGTGATTTTCAGAGTAGTCACAGAGTTGTCCAATCATCACCACTATCTAATGACACAATGTTTTTATTACTCTGAAAAGAAATGCATACCCATTAGCAGTCATTCTCCATTTCCTCCTCTCTTCCCCAGCTCTTTTACTTTTAGTCTCTATAGATTTACCTATTTTGACCATTTCATATAAATGGAATCATATAATATTCTTTCAATTAGCCTGACGTTTTGAAGATCATCCCTTTTGTAGCATGTATAAGTATTTCAGCCATTTTTATTACTGAATTAATATTCCTTTGTATGGATATATCACATTTTATTTGTCTGTTCACCAGTTGATGGACATTTGGGTTGTTTCCACTTTTAAGCTATTATCAGTAATGCTGCTGTGAACATTTGTGTACAAGTTTTTGTGCAGATATGTTTTCAGTTCTTTTGGGTATACATCTAGAAGTAGAACTGAGTCATATGGTAACTCTGTGTTTAACCTTTTGAGGAACTGCCAGACTGTTTTCCAAAATGATTGCATCTTTTTACATTCTCACCAATGTATGAGTAAGTGTTCCTATTTCTGCACATTCTTGCAAACACTTGCTATATTCATTATTTAAATTATAATAATTATTGTTAATAATTATTCTAGTGAGTGCAGAGTGGTATCTCACTGTAGTTTTGATTTGCATTTCCCTGATGACTAATGATTTTTGATGAGCCATCAACATCTTTTTATGTGCTTATTGGTCATTTGTATATCTTTTTTAGAGAACTGTCTATTTAGATCTTTTGCCCATTGTTTAATTAGGTTGTCTTTTTATTATTGAGTTATAAGAGTTCTTTATATATTCTAGATACAGGTCTTTTGTCAGATATATGATTTGCAAATATTTTCTACCAATTCTGTTGGTTGTCTTTTCACTTTGTTGATGGTGTTCTCTTTGACTTTTTAAAAGTGAATTTTAGACTTGACATTTTTATCCTGAAAACTTGAGCATGCATCTCTTAAGGATGAGAACATTCTTCTACCTAACACAATATCATTTTCACACTTAAATGAACATAAATTCAGCAATATCAATGAATATACACACCATATTTAAATTTCCCCAACTTTTCCAAAAATGTCCTTTATAGCTATTTTTTAAAAAATCCAGATCCAGTCAGGTTCATACATTACTTCTGGTGGTTGTCTCTTTAGCCTCTTTTAATGTGGAGCAATCTTCCCCGCCTTTTTTGTTTTTCATGATAGTGACTTCTTTTTTTGAAGTCCAGGCCAGTGTTCTTATGGAATAGCCCACAATCTGGATGTGTTTGATTGTTTGCTCATTATTATATTCAGGGTAAACATTTTTTGCAAGAATACTATATAAGTGATATTGGGTCACATCAAGAGCTACCTAATGACAGATTGTCTCACCATTAGAGATGCTAAGTTTGATCCTCATTTAAGGTGGTGTTTATGAGCTCTTTCTTTGTAAAGGTATGTATTTCTTTTGCCCTTCGTAAATCAGTAAGTTATTTATGAGGTGACAAAGACTGTGTGAATATCCTGTTCCCCAACAGAGTTTCACCTAATGGTTTTCACTATTCATCAGCAATCCTTGCCTGAATCTGTTATTTCATTGCGAATGTCTAGCACTATTATTTTTATTTGTCTAAAGAAAACAGAGGCAAAGAGTACAAGCACAGTGTATGTTGATGTTCACAGACAGTTCTAGTTCAAAGTAAATATGCTACTATAACAGAAGTTTAAAAAATTTTTGTCAGCAGTATTAAGACTGTAGATTGCCCATAATGTCTTTGTTTTTTTTTGTTTGTTTTTAACAAGATGAACAAAGTGTATAATAATACAAAAATGCCTTTGAAAAAAGGATAAGAATTAAGACACATTTAGCTGGATGTGCCTGTAGTCCCAGCTACTCAGAACGCTAAGGCAGAAAGATTGCTTGAGCCCAGAAGTTCAAGGCCACCCTGGGCAACAGAGCAAGACCCTCATCTCTAAAAACAAAACAAGACAAAAAGAATTAAGAAACGTTTGTTTGAAATTCATTTTGATTTTCAGATTAGTTCAATATATCAACAAATTTTCTTGTAACAGTACTTTTAAACTATTTATTTGGAGCTTGGAAATACTCAGGTAATGGTTATGTTGCCAGCCCAGCGCACATTAACGTTTTATACCAGTGATGTAGTTGTATGAAAGAGTGGTGCCTGCGAGCCATGAGTAGGCAAGACAAGAAGCGGGAAAGAGGAGGCTGTCTGTTCCCTGTCTCTGTGTGTGCACAGCCACCTCCAGGCAGGGTTTCAGATAAGAATGTGTCTGCCATTTCCCATCTCCTTTTTAGATCCCCTTTTTTTTTTTTT